AAGTAAGCTGTGACAGGAGCTGAACCCATGGGGTCATCTAGATCCACCGTGGGCTCAGTCATGAGACCGGCTGGGACTGCTACCGATGATGTGCCGTTCCCAGGAATAGCAAGAGCGTCCATGGCTGTGGTTAGAGCACTACGGCTGATAACCTATAGAAACAGCCGTTAAGCTGCAACTCCTGTTTTGGGCCGCGAGCTGCGAAGGTAAGTCTACATGACATCCTACTATGTGCAAGGTACAAAGTGTACATATTACATGGAGTGAAAATACAGGTTCGTCTATATATGTTCGTCTTGGATCAACAATGGAATGTACCGTGAACAATTGTTCATTGCACCCCACTCCTGCTGCACCTCTGCAACCGACTCCGTATGGACTGCCTGGCATTCCCAGCAGAATGCTAAACTGTGTGTTAGGCCCAAAAGCTGACAGGCTTGCAACTCGGCGCAAAACAAAAACATCATCGTGGTTGATCATGATTACTATATAATTACCGCGGCTGCTGGAGCTTTCAAATCACCTAGGGTAAGGTCCAATACACTTTACAAGGTTCTATATTAACATACATGTATACATACAAGTGCGATGCGCCTGCGTGACAGTTGGTGCAGCGCTTTGTTGTGCAGTCTCTGCACGGGAATCCTGGCAAAAAGAGCACTACACATCTGAGTTCTCTGTCTGTAAACGCCTGTTACAACAGAAATTGCAGCAAACATCGGGAAACGATTTGTTCGTTCGCGTCTGCCTCTTGGTTTTTGCTCAGATAGCTGCCAGCTAAAGGGGTTCTTACTTCTCACTGGTGTGGACCTGGATCGGCATTTCGTTTTGCCGTGCTGGTGCAGGCGCTGGTGCAGGCGTTTTGTTTCGGCGTGCTGGTGCAGGTGCGGTGCAAGTGCTGGTGCTGGGTGCTGGCGCGGGTGCTGGCGCTGGATCGGCGTTTGTTTGGGGCATGCTGGTGCATGGGTGCTGGTGCTGGTGCGGAAATGTGAAAAAAACACTGCGGTCATTGAAGCAGCAATGTGTCAAAGACTCGCAACATGGAATTTCTTGCCGGGGTGCATGGAAAACGGTTGCTGCACTGCAAGCACTGGGAAGGTGAAAAATGACCTTGGCACCGCTCATTGACAACGAAAGCCTTTAGATATTGGGATTTTCTACCTCAGGCACTGAGAGCTTTTTCCCTATACACCCGCTATGTGGGGTCTATGCCAGTGTAATTTGTGTGATCTTCTGCTGGCTGCTCCATGCGCCCGTCTCCAAAACTCCCAAGCACAATCTGACCACTACTTGACGTGTTGCCTCGATGGGGGATGACAATGCACCTTGTGTGGAGGTCAGCACAGTCACCAGTCACAGGTCAGCGATGCCCAAGGTGGAATGAGGCTGCGAGGATTGGATGGAGACAATCTTGCCGGGTTAGATTGATGATTTGTCCACCTACTGCATGGCCACAAGCTTCACAAATAAGTAACAGGAAGTGTTGGTGTTCGATGTCAGTGATTCCCCTGTGCCAGCGTTCAATAAGCCCGGCCCTACTGTAGGTGTTTGTGTTGGAGATGCTCCGTCATACAATTTCTCATATTGAAGTTGTTTGATTTGATGTGGTGCGACATGATTCTGCATTGTAATTGCTGCGATGATCTGTGATGCATTGCGATGTCGTGCTTTGATGTGTTGCCACTGGAGTTCATTTTTGATGCGATGATGGCATGCTCATCACCTGTCGTGGCGTGCTGTGATGCGATACGGCGAGATTTGGTGAGGTGATATTGTCGATAATTACTGTAATTAATTATATATTTGTCGTTGAAATCCGTTGAGTGCTGTTTTTTGCAATTGTTCCGCACCTGAACACGGCTCGCCATAGACTGTGCCGGTTTAGCAGTGTTGCTCGGGCTACAGGGTTCCCCCGATGCACTTCCGTGGTAAAAAAGGTAAAGGGACCGTCTACCCGCCGCTCACTTAAAATTATTCAATGAAATTAATTACTCTACAAGAATTATATAGTCCAGAAAAACTACTTAGGGCATGAGCAATGTTTTAAAACCGTGTCTTTTCCCGGGTGAGTCGCCCTTTTTTTCGCAAACGCTATACGTCAAAAAGACGATGTTTTACCGTTTTGTAGGAGTCTGTGATCATTTTTGTACTAAAGGAGCGAGCGGGTACCCCTCACCAAACAAAGCGCACGGACCGGCTTAGCAAACCTCATGCCTCCGTCCACTACCGTAATTCACCTGGCACACTCATCCACAACTTTCCGTAACTCATAATTTTGCATGAATTTTCTGCTCAAAACTTCCTTTCATTATGCTCCTGTAAACTATTCGGAATACTAGTTAAAGAACAGTGACGCTGCAGTGCACCTCCGCAAGGGGTGTGTTGCGGTATGTTGTGAAGGATTCGCACAATGGCTCATACATAGGTTTGCACATCAAGCATGGCCGTGCAACTCTTGTGCTCATCTTGATTGACGACCCCTTTCCGCACAATCTTCTACATTTTCGCCACTGCACCTCTGCAGTTGGCTTCACACGGACAGCCTAAAGCAGCAGCTATTGCAAAACAAGTTTTCCAAGCTTTGTGCAGCAAATGAGTGCACAACCCACCTTGGTCACCAGAAATCTGTTGAGGTGACAACGACTACTGACTACTGGCTACTATGATTGTGACCAAGCGGACATTGAAACCCATGTTGCTTTCATGCTACACTGTTAGTCTGAAATGTTCGCCTGATGTCTGACATGGTGTGGCCTGATGACATGCTTCTGAATGCAAAGCCCAAGTGGATAGAAATGGGCCGTTGTGTCAACTTTGCTCAATCCCGAATCCTGAAGTTGTGCTTCCCACAGCCAGCCAAGTCATAATGGGTATATTTTTGAAAAACAATGGAAGACTTCTGTATAAACACGTTCAGTACTGACAGCAGCTACGGTATACATCTCTGAGAGAGAACTCCTGCATATTCTCAATAACATTTCACAATGGCTTTGGATTTAAGTGTGGTGAATACGTGTGCAAAACCTTTAAACTCAGAAAGCAACACCTGAACACCCTCTTGTAACAACTCTCTGAACCCTCTCAAAATTAGACAACTGATCATGGGATGCAAGAAGTTAGGGGCTGGCATCTGTGGTAGTTGGTCGTTATGCTTGGTGAAGCTGTGGTGATTTGGAGAGATCTGTGGGGCTTCTATGGCGATTTGGTGCTTGCAGTGGTTTGCAGTGCAAGACGCACTCACCTGTGCTGATTGCATGAAACCTTCGTTTCAGAATGGCATGCTAGCGCCCAGCGATCTCACATGTTCTTACTCTGTAGATCTGTCCTGACTCATTTGCCACCTCGGATATCTTTTGTAATTATATAATTCTTTTCCGGAACTCCCTCTGCACTCCCATGGGCTATGCTAATTATTATGGAAAGCAATTATTCCGAACTTTCTTGCTTGGTACTATACAGTATACGTATAGTATAGGGCAAAGCGGCCCTGAAACTTAACTAAAGTAGGCCCGCGCAACGGTTGGGGTAGGGGCGGCGCTGTGTTTGGCAGGAGCTGGCGGATTCTCCTCACAGACCTTTCTTGGGACAAATTTTGAAAACTAAATTCGTATCCAAGTTTCTGTAAGCAAGTGGATTCGATTCACATGCATGTTTGCATGTTTGCATGCGACATGTTGTATAATGTTGTATACAAAGTCATGAGTCGATGAGCCAGTAGTACAGTTGCTTTGTGGTGGCTGTGATTGGCGCAACTGAAATCAACTGAAACTAAGAACAGTTTATTGTAATACAGCGCTGCTGCCTTGCCTGTGGCAAAATTGCCTGCTGGTCTTCCTTCTGCTCCTGGAGTGACGCAAACAAACGCGTCACTAGTGAGTGAATTGGGAGGAAGACATACTGTAAAGCGACCGAGAATATCAACCTATTGAGTGGTGAGCCTGTGCCATGAACCGTTCCATTAACACAAAGGTTCAAAGAAGCCATTGTGAATGAATATCGTTAGCTGTGAAGTGCTGCAAAGGTGTTGTAATAAAGTTGTGGTATGCACATATATGCACATGTACGCACCGTGGCAACTCCTGTCACAAAGGATCGATTAGGAGCTGTGCAAACATACAACAATCAAAGCAATCCTTTGTTCGTGAGGTTGAGCGCCCCTGGCACGGTCATTCTCTTCAACTTCATCTACAACACATCAAGTGTTTCATGCCTCAGCAGGTGCTCAAAAATCTCCGAGATACTGAGTTACTGGCTTGAATCGATGCTTTGCACACCTCTTTGCATGCCTTTTCTGAGTAGCTGCATCTTACTGCTGGAAAATTGTCGCCTAGAAACTGACTTCTGAACTGGTCATTTTGACCCACAGGACCTGGAAAGCACAGTACGAACTTTGCGTCCCTGCTCGCTACCTTTCAATAGAAGACCTGTATGTATAGTTGCTTGATGCTATGCTATGCCTTTGGCACAGCACTGCTTTGATCGTCTGCTCACTATGGGGTGGTGTGAAGCGACGATCTTCTGTCAGGCTCCATAAACTCCTGCGGAAAATCAAGGATGATATCGCTGATGATCAGCGATGCAATGCATTGAACCAGCCCTCTACCCTCTCTAAATCTCCGCCTCCGTTCTCGAAGACAAGCGTCTCAAGCCAATAGCCTTGCCCTCACGTTTTTGAAGACGAGACATCTTCTTTCCTTGGATTGTCGGTCTTGGCTTATTGCAGTGATGTTCGCCGCTGACAAAGAGTTAAGCTGCCAAATGTCCAGACCATACCTTTTTCACCACCGCGTCTTGTTTGATGAAGTCCACCTGGTGGTCCAAGGTTGAAAGCATTCATCCAAGTCTGCAAATCTATTTATATAATAATACATAAACTTGTGCTTGAAAGGTAGGTTGCAAGTTGTCTGACATGTGATCAGCGACTCATCCGTCTCTCAATGACCCTCAAGCACATTTGAATAGCGTTCAAAAGCTGATACAGTCTTCGATCAGGCTTCGGGCTAACCTGCTTCAACGGGGATCTCATTTGATAAGGCAGAATTGTAGAGCATGACTGAACATAGTGTATATTGATGTATATTGAACATGGATGTAGCGGTCTGGCTGGCAAACCCGGAACAAGTGGCCAGTGTTTCAGCGTTTGCCCCTATCAGTGATCGTAGCCGGTCCTCAGCATCCTGTGCACTCTTCCATTGTGGTGGGGCCGCTGCCTCGTTTAGCAGCCAAAATGATTGATCATTGAGCAATTCATAATATTATATAATAGTGTGCGCGAGTGCAAACTATCACTTTGACCTCGTATGCATCCCAACTGTCATAGTCTTTGAGCATGCCATCCGAAATCTCAAGGACACGTGTAGCAAACTCCCGCAGAAAGAACCGATCATGACTCACCACCAAAGCAGCTCCTCAGGAAAGGAATTGAACACAAACATACTATTTAGCGAGGACCTGTCCTTATTGAAAACGCCCTTACCTTCTGGCTTTTGTCTCTTTCTCTCTTGTTTGCTTAGCAAACTCAAAGGCCCCAGTGAGGGGTTGTGAACAAATTGCTTTGGGGCGATTTTTGAGTCGAGTTCATTGAGTGTGGAGGGCAAAGGCCGTACTGGAAGTCCTCGAAAGGCTTTCAGCGCATCTTCCAGGAGTTCCCGTGTTGGGATGTCCAGGTGATTTGTTGGCTCGTCGAGGACCAGCAATGCAACAGGATTCAGCAAGAACTGGGCAAAGGCAACACGAGCCTCGAAGTACAAGCCATGCTGTCACAAAGGGACAAAAAAACCATGCAAGAAAGTTTTGACGGATGAAGGAAGGAGGCTTTGACAACAATTGGCTTCAGGTCCGCTTGAGCTCTGGGGTCTCTGACCTTCTCACCGCCGCTGAGGCTTGAAACCGGCTGCTCTTGCGTTACGCCATCTAGACGCAAGCGATCCAAAACAGCATCAATGCCACCAGCCCTGTTAATGTCATCCGGTTTGCCTGTCCCGGGCACACATGGTCTCAACAAAACACAGAATGAAACGCTGTGCCACTCCACATTTCAAACGCCGCACATGTTTCAACTTTCAACTCTTCCTCTCCGACATGCACTTCAGCCAGAATAGTTTGGTCCTTGTTCAATCTTGTGCAATGTCACTGAATAAAGCCCTTCGTGGCTGAGGTGCATGACATATATAGGGCATCCTTCACAGTCCCGTCATCTGAATTAAATGCCTCTGCCAGTCCTTGGGCTCCGGACATGCTTGAGCAAATGCTAAAGGTCCAAGAGGGTATGAAGGGCGTTAGATGCGCCCTGATGTGAAGCCTTCTGGATCGCTGAACCCTGAGACACTATCACACACACATATATTATATAATACGTAATTAATTGTACAGGAAACATGTTTAAAGGATTTCAAAGCCAGGTTCAAAGGGAGCTTGCAAGGTCGTGACTGCTTGTGCATTGGGCAGACTGGCCAAGGCACGCTGGGGGAAATACGCAGCCCCAGCTGATGTAATTGCCGCATCACCGTCCACTGCCGCGCTGGTGTCCAAGTCTTTTACGAGAGCGCGCACCAGTGTGCTCTTCCCACAGCCATTTCGGCCTACAATGGCCACTTTCTCCCCTTGTCTCAGCAAGAAGCTGATCTTTTCCAATACAACCTTGGCCAACATGGTTCACGGAAGCTGAAACATCTGAAACATGTTCTGCAAAACCAACTCGACACTCCAAACTATATCAGCCTGGATCAACTAGCAACTCTACTCGCACCCATGGAGTCAATGCAGCCCAAATGCGTGGTCAGCGAATCGAACTCCCAAATTCTGAACCTTGAGCAGGATGGGCAATTCGGCTTGGTCTTCCCACAGGTTCTGGCCGAGAAGCGCTGATCAACCGCCGAATGGATGGGTGCACCATTAAACAAGGGTTACTGTACAGAGAGCAAGTGGAGATCATTGGAACGCGACCTGATCGTAGTGTTAGTGTTTGTCGCGCATGTGCAAGCTCGAGCCTCATCTTCGTCATCAGTAGTGGGCAAGCAACAAGGAAAACGGAAGTTTTTGACGACTTTTACCTGGCGTTTACCGTGATGAAGGCGCAGTGCAAAGTGTCAGCGAACAAGCAACTGGAAAACCGGGCTACCACCTCATGATACCTTGGGGCCTTTCTCTGCTCCCATCATCTCCCATCTTGGGAGGAACATTCTCAAACTCAATAGGTGTGGATGAGTTCTCAGCGCTTTGCACCTGAGGCTTTGGTGGAGCCGTGGCAAGCAATTTTTCCAAATCCTGGAACAATTGAGCGAAGATTCTGCTGAGGACATGTGCTGACTGAAGTGATTCGACATGATTCAACAAAGCTGTTATTTACGCATTGATTATATATATATACACATAATATATGATTATATATATATGTATATATATATATACATATCGCTCCAGCAACCCAAGCTAGCTTCAACCAAATTCAGTCCTGTTTCTTTTGAGCAAGGACGTCCAACAAGAATCTCTCTTCCAATCTTTTTATCCTCTTTTTCAAGGCCTTCACCCGGTCCCTGTGCAAATTGTATCTCTTCCACTCAAGGGCAAAAGCGTCGTCGCGAGCCTGTAGGTATGCGACATAGTTGCCCAAGTAGGTCTTGCAAGTGCCGTCAGACATTTCTACAATCCGATTGCACACCTGGTTCAAAAAGTATCTATCATGGGAAACAACGACCATCGCAGCATCTTGCTTTTGCAGCAAATCTTCCATGAACTCCACCGTCTCCAGGTCAACGTGATTGGTGGGCTCGTCTAGCAAAATAATGTCAGGTTTGGACAGAATGATCTTTCCAAGTGCAACCCTCATCTGCCATCCGCCAGATAGCTCCGGCACTAAGGTGTCTCGAAAAGCATCCTTGCGGGACCAATGAACTGAACCTTCCCATAACCTCTCTAAAGCCACCGAATACCTAGATTTCATTCGTGGTTGAGAAGAAAAACGAGACAAAACCTGATCCAAATGTGGTCAAGAGTCCAGTCCAAGCTCCGACACCATGGTTTCGGCTTTTTCAAGGCCTTCTTCTGTGTCGGTCCGCTCTTCGATGTACTTTGCCATCTCTTCATCTGAATAATCCTCCGCCGATGCGCAAGCCTCAATGTCTGCGTCAATGTCGGCCAGGCGTCGCATATTGAAGGCTGCACAAAGCTCCTCCGATGTTCTGAGCAAAGCATAGGCAAAGACTTCCAATCTTTGGTTCAGCAAGGGCATTTCAGGTAACTGCAAAGCTTGGGTTAGGAAAGCGGCACACCAATAGCTCCTCGAAGGCAGTCCTGGAGTTGTCCAAGTCCGCCTCTTGCTGCATATATGCAATCTTCATGTCCTCTGGGAATTTCAGGATCCTCACGGAATTCGAAGAAGCGTATCCCAAATGATGAGAGCCAAGGGTCAAGATATGGGATTTCGATTTCTTGAGCAATCTGAAGACGCAAAAGTGAAAGATGCTGGTGGGAGTCCGTCCACTCCCGGGCTCGATCTCTTGCATAAGCATTAGCAACTGAGTGCTCTTTCCACAGCCATTTGGCCCTATGAGGCCCACCTGAAGTGTCAAAAACTCTGCTACTCTGCCTTCAAAACATCCCTAAAGGCAACATCCTTGCTCCTAATTTAACGTAGAGAATGCGACTGGTTCAGCGGCTTCCATTCCCAACCATAAGAAAGGCAAACAACCAGCAACCAAATGCCTTCTGCCCGCGATGGACACTCCAGCTCACGGACTCCAGCACCTCCAGCTTCAGCACTCAGCAGCATGCGCTTGCAAGAAAAGCGTGAAAACATTTGAGAATACCATCTGCTTTCTATTTCCGGTTTTTACAGTAGATATCTCTTTTTTCAGCATGTTCTTCGCATCATCTGTCATCTTTCGTCCGCTGCTTCATCTTCTGCTTGCACGCCCTGTCTCCCGGTCCCTCTCTCTGTTTGCAGCCCATTGCTCATACCGCCCTTTTCCCCAAGCAGCCTCCCTAAGTACTGAAGTAATTAAAACTCTTTAAACTTTAGCTCAACAAGCCTTTCTGTTTCTACGCCTCCTTGATCGTAGTTTTCCCATGCTCACCACCACCTTTGACTGCCGGTGTCCATCTCACCTAGACCGCAAAAACAAGCACGTTTAGCCTAGTCTACAGCAGCTGGAGAGTGATGTTATAAACAGTACATTTTAGTTTACGTGCATCAATTGAACAAGTGAAGCAGCTCACTTCACTTCTACGGACCAGACTGATTCCTTATGACTCAAGGATGCAAGTTGGCACACCCAACAGTCCTTGTCAACAATCACAGCAGGGACAATCCGTGGCGTCTCCTGCAAACAGGATTATGCCCTCGACCAGGGTTGTATGGTGAACTTATACTTACAGTATCTATCTCCGACTTTCACTTCTTCTCATTATCTATAGAATGAATCTCTCTGACCCAAATCGAGGAGCATTGAAGACCGCTCTGTCGTACTTCGTCCTTAGGGTTGAGCTCGGCGTGGCGCAGCCCCTTCATTCTTCTTTCTTTTTTCTGACTTCGCTCCTGTGATTCTCCTGAGCCTCATCCAGTAAAAACAACTCTGTAAACATGGGGCACAACACAAACACGTAACAACACCAAACTTCAATGATATTGATACCGCATGGGTGTGGAAAAAGCTGTGTTCAACCCCCTTCAAGCCCCAGGGTTCACATTGTCACTGCAAAACGCACACAATGATGGCTCTGTTGGAGACTCCTTGGTCCTCTTCTCTCAAATTGGAGTTGCCGCCTTCGTCGAGGCCTTTTGGTCCAGCTTTATCGTCCTTCCCCTACAGGTGCTCTGCACTGCACCGTTCACAAGATCGCAACAGGCTGGGTAAAAACTGTCACCCTGGCCACCAGTGCCTTGGTGGACTTTGCAATCGGCTGAGCTAGAGGCTTGGAAGGCCTTTGCCGCTGCGCATGCAGCCGCACTTTCTTTCTGAAGCCGGCTGCGGCTGCAGGCACGGCAGGCAGCCAAAAGGCAGTAGACTTTGTAGCCAAACGTGGCCTAATTCACTCACAACTTTTATTCAAAATACACACATTCATCCAAGCATATCTCACTGCTGCAGGAAGCTAAGCCAAGGTTCGAGAAAATTTCAGTACCAGGCAACCTCCTTCGCGGAGTGCAGGAGGAAAGTGCAGTGAGGTGACTTGATGTCAGGAGACTTGGCTCCATGGCAGCGAAAAGTTGCATTCCCAATAAAGTCCTCTTTGTTTGGCTCAAGGTGAGTACAGCAGTTGCGTTTGCGTGTTGCCAAGCTCTCTCTCTCTCTCTCTCGCTCTCTCCGCAGTGTGCAGGAAATTTTCGCAACAATGGAACAATGTGTCAAAAGGAAGTCGAACATCTGCACTTTCGACTGGTTGGTGCTGTGCGGTGCACTTGGTCATGCATCAGAAATGGCGGCACTGCATGCAAGGTGAAGGGTGCAATCAGCAAGCAAAAGGTACTTATATAATCTATAGGCAAATAATCTGTAAGCTGTCCCTCAGTCAATAGCTGGAGGTCACATTGATACTATGTCATTGGTTCGGCGAAGCTATAGTTGAGCAAGCTTACAACTTCGTGCACCAAGAAGCTCAAGTCTTGGAAATGGCCGCCTGGCCTCCTCATCAGACTCTAACAGAGTCTCTATGTGTTCTTCATTGAAGGAGGCGATCTGACTTTCGTCCTTCGTCCGCTCAACGATTCAATCCGCAACTGTGATGCCAAGTCTTTGCCGATTAAATAGTAGCACATTGATGTGCTTGTATACTAATACATTTGGATAGACTGTCTTGGATAAACGGACCCAGAAATAAACAAAGTCTGTGTGGCCTTTGCCTGAAAAACCGGGGTACAATGCAAATCTAGCCAAGAATGACAACTCGACAAACTAGTCTGTACTGTACTCCGGCGTGGAATTGCGCGCTTCTCAACATGTCACTCATGTGCACCTACGTGCCTGCAGCAAGAAACATAAGAATCTACGGACCAGCGACCAGTCGATTCCTTATGGCATTCCACACTATCATGCATGCAGAAGCCACATTATTTTCCCTAGGCGGCGCCAGGGATACCAACGGTTGCAACTGCACCCTTTGGCCCAGGCTGTGGCTTTCGACAGTGCTGTCTGCCACCCTTCCCGGCTGCTTTGCGCAGAAGTATATGGGCTAAGGACGTGGTGACAGGTTTTTTTCTGGCTAATTTTCACAGCTCCGCTGCCCTTCTCAGCCATTTTGCGCGCAGAACTAGTTCCCCTAAGGCTGTAGCAATAGGATTGGCTGGCTTCCACGCCTGTTTCATCCTGCCTCAATGCGTTTCAAAAACTGGAACTAGTTTTGCTATGATGGGCTAAGATGGCTGGCTAAGGTCGCGTGGAGCCTAGGCTGGGAGCTTCCCATGTCTGGCTTCTTGCCGTCTGGAAACTTCCCACGCTGGGTACAAGAGAAGAAATTGGAAGAGGTTGCCTTGGCAGCAACATCACAGGCCATCCATACCATACCCGGCAGGCGTCTCGACATGCCCAAAGATTCAGGCCGACTTAACCAGCTAAGGGAGGGGTAAACAAAGTCTTATTATGTGCTTACATCAGATCAGGAGTCCATGCTCGAGAACTGTCCCAGATTGAATGGCGCGCCAACTCTCTCGCAATGCTAAGGTGAAAGACCTCCCAGACATGCAACAGGAAAATCTCTTGAGTTACGCTACCAGGGTGGAGACTATTACTACTAGTAACAAGAAATCAAGAAGCCACTAGGTCCAGGTTGGATTTGGCCGCTTGGAGTTGCTGAGCTGTATGAGCCGCCCGGTGCAATGAGCCGGTTGCTATGTCGGGCTTTCACATCTTTTTATACCGACGGTTCCAATCGCAAAGGGGCATACCAATATTGTCTCAGAACTTTTAGTGGATGTGGGGCTTGTCTTAATGCACCCCTTTGTTTGTTTTGCAAGACCGATCCTGGAGAAATGTATTCCAGGCTACAGGTGCTGCTTGCAAAATTACACACCTTCATTCGATCTCAAGTGTGGAACAAGTCCAATTTAAGTGGTCTGAGTCTAAGCAACGCAAAATGGAGTACGCGAGAGTACGCGTAATTATGTGTCTTTGTGTGGTTGATGATGTGCTGTCCATGACGCAAAAAAAAGCCGCACTTTCGCTGGGTGGTGACCCAAAAACAAATGCAATATATTGCAGCACTGGCACCCTGTATGATTGGCATTGATTGTAAACACGTACTTCCCTGTACCTGCCACTTCCCTTCCATACAAACCACAAGCGCCGCAGCCCAACTTCTTGGGCCCGCCTCAATGTAGAATGCTTCCACCGTTGACGACTCGTTGGGTCCAGGGAGTCCAGGGTCCTGCAAAAAAAAGGGTGGGGTAGGTTCCTTGAAGAAGCGCTCGTACTAATGATTTGGTTCCTAGATTTTTAGGGAAACTTAACAAGTAGCGATGACCTTTGTTACCAGTAGCTTCTTGCTCCTAGTAGTAAAGGCCAGGAGCTATTAGTAGGGTCCTTGCTACTAGTAGCGATGCCCTTTGTTACTAATAGTGGGCGATGCCCTTGTTACTAGTAGCGTCCTCTATATGGTGCAATGAGTCCAAAAAGTGAGGTGCCTGGGACCATCATTGGAGCCTCTTTTGAAGATACTCATGGCGCATAAAACAACAAACCATCTGTGAGCCCCATACTGTACATCTGTTCAGGCCCTGGTCAAACAAACAAAATCATACATGTGTTGCCTCGTGGGAAGCATCTCCACGCTCTGCTGGTAAGGTCGATGGCTGCACTGCTGGCTCTTGTTGCTCAACCTGGTCACGGAGCTGCCGGAATATGTTTAGTTCATAGATTTCCACCCCGGGGAGACGGCAATTGTTGTTTTATACTAAATATATTAGGTATATATGCATATAGAGTTGCACAGTTATATATTTATATAATATATATACATATGTATATGTATAATGTGTATGTATGAGCAAATTGATGCAATTGATTTGTATCGCAGAGTATTTACAGTAACTGTTCCAGCCTCTTGAGCCAGGTTTGCTGCGTGTCCTGCAGTTGGTTTGGGCTGATCCAGGGTGGAGATCGGTTGCACCTCCAAACCAAAGACATGACCGTCTATGTGTCAATAAATCACGTGCCTGCGTCAACTTTCAGGCTCATTTGAGAGCTAAAGGTCTCGAGATGTCTCGAGTAAGGTAAAGACTCTAGTTGCCCCCGTTTTTTCAACCAACTGTACTTGGCTTGCACCTGTGGTGAATCATGTCCAGGTTGTTGGCTAGCCTGCAGCGCAGCAAGGAAGTACTTCAGTATTTCCATTATGACCAAGGACCATGACATCCTTTGACATCCTTGGCGGGCTTGCCCACAAAAATCCCAACGTGACACCAACGGCAGAAGGCTCGTGATACAACCTACAGTCCACCATGGCTCTGTTACAAGAAGAAACCGAGGAAGGGCTCATGATAAGCACTGAATCATACTGAATCTATTTTGACGTGTTTCCCCTGCTCTTGTAGTGGACCATTTATCATTTGGGCTTAGGCTTGTGACAGTTCATTCATGCTGTGGTCGGTGGTGTCCCAGCCAACAGTGCATATTACCGTACGGGTTCGATGTTTCGGGCCCACATTTCCTGGATGTAGTAACAGGTGCCCTACTAGTAGTAACAAGAAGCTAGTAGAAACAAGTGCCTTACTAGTAGTAACAAGGACGCTACTAGGGGCTCCTGGCATCGCTACTAGGAGCAAGGACGCTACTAGGG